GGGCCGGGGGCGGGCCGGGGGCTGCTCCGCTGCCCGGGGCGGGCCGGGGGCGGGCCGGGGGCTGCTCCGGGGGCTGCCCGGGCCACGGAGAAACACTCGCCCCCACGGCGGCTGCCCGGCTCGGCCCCCGCAAGTTTCCACAGGGCACCGCCACGGAGTTGAGCGGGGGGCGGCCCCGCCGTGCCCGCCCGTCCGTCCGTCCGTCCGTCCATCCGCCGCTTTGTTCCCGGAGGATGCGGCGCGCCTAACCCCGGCCGAGGCGGTGGGGCCGCAGCGGGGGCAGGGGCAGCCCTCCGCCGGAAAACTCCGCGCCGCCCTCCTTCCTCCTCCTCCTCCTCCTCCTCCTCTTCCTCCTCCTCCTCCTCCTCCTCCTCCTCCCGCTCGCAGCCCCGGCGCGGAGCGATGCTCTCGGGGCCGGCGGGCGGCGATGGAGCGGGGCGGTAGCGCGGAGCCGCCGAGCACAGCGGCCCCTGGGGCAGCTGCCCGCGGCCCCTGAGCGCCGGCAGGAGGAGGAGGAGGAGGAGGAGGAGGAAGAGGAAGGCCGGGGCAGGCGGCAGAGCGCGGCCATGGAGGAGTGGCGGCAGTGCGGCCGCTGGCTCATCGACTGCAAAGTTTTGCCCCCGAACCACCGGGTGGTCTGGCCCTCGGCCGTGGTCTTCGACCTGGCGCAGGCGCTGCGGGACGGGGTGCTGCTGTGCCAGCTGCTGCACAACCTGTCCCCCGGCTCCATCGACCTCAAGGACATCAACTTCAGGCCGCAGATGTCCCAGGTAGGAGGGGAGCGCTGGGTGGGGAACCCCCCGGAGCACCGGGAGCCCCGGAGCACCGGGATGCGGCTGCTGCTCTGCTCAACTTGGTGGGATGATGGGATGGGATGGGATGGGATGGGATGGGATGGGATGGGATGGGTTGGAATAGGATGCAATACCGTCTGTTTCACCCCTCCCGGATGAAATGCGGCCGGGAAATTAGGATAAAAAAGGGAGGCTGCGTCCTCCAAAAATTGGAGAGACCCTAAGGGAATGCCCCATAGCCTCTCCCTTTATTGGAATAAAGTAAAAGGACTCCTCTGTCTCCTTTTTGGACATAAACCTCTGGTGTTTGTGGGTTAATTTTGCTAACACACGGCAGCCCCTCCCAGGCTTTATCCGCCCGGTTTCTCGCTGGGAAAGGCTCCGGGGCGGGCAGAGAACCCCCCGGGCAGGAGGGAAACATCCCCCTCGTGTTTACAGCCCTGGCGAAACAAAAGCAAATAGCAGGGCTACGAGGAGGAGGAGGAGGAGGAGATGGGATTATTGGGGGTTTTCATGGAGGCGCTGCTTCGTCTGAGATGTGCGGGAGGAGCGGGCGCCGGGACGAAAGTTTGGCTGGGAAGACTCAAAGCAAAATAAATGAATAAATTTATGAAAACACACGAACCTCTGGGGCTCTGTGAGCCTGCCCTAAGCATGGCAGGGCAGGGAGCGAGGCCAGAGCAGTGTCCGAGCCCCGGTGCTGCATCCCTGCAGCGGGAGGTGATGGGGGGCTCGGGTCAGGGACCCCAATGCCACCCTTGCCCTGTCCCCTGCCCCGCTCTCATCGTGGTTTTCCCATTTGGGTCCTTTAAAAGAGCTCCATCCTTGGAAGTGTTTCCAGTTCTTGGTTGGTTTGGTGGAAGGAGGCTTAAACAAACGGAAAAAAAAAAAAGAAAAAAAAAAGAAAAAAGAAGTAAAATCAGCTCAGCTCAGGTTGTTTTGTGTCTGAGGGCTCCGCTGGTGTTTTTGCAAGCTGAGCTGCAGGTATTTGCATGGGAATCGGGAAGTGAAATCGATTAGAACAAACGGAATGGGGTTTGTGCCCTGCCCGCCGGCAGCCCCTGCGTTGATTTCATCTCAGCTCAAGTTCGTTTCAGAGCGCCGGCTTTTATTTTTGAACAACAGGTTCTAGCGGTGAAATTTGAAGGGAAACTTTCTGTCTGTAACTTCGCTGGAGCCTTCAAGGATAAACAACCTCCAGTGCCCGCACGAGCTCAGTTCCTGTGCTGTGAGAGAGAATCCCTCTCCCTTTTTCCGCTGGAGTTTCCCTCCAGGGCGATGTTTTTTCATGTTTTTTTTTCCAGTTTGTCCCCTTCACCCAGCAGGACACATCCACGTGTGGCTGCTGTGGCTGAGGACAGCCAGGAGCTCCCAAATTTGGGGAGCTTTGCTGTGAGGATGTCCTTGATCCTGCAAAGCACCGGAATGGGAATCCCCAGCCCGCAGTAAATAAATAAAAACACGTCCTGATGCCTCTTCCCAGGGTGGAACAATGCTGGGAGATTTCCTTTTGGCTTTTCAGGCTATGAACTGATCAAACTGTTTTCCGCTCAGGCTGGTGTTTCCAAATATAAACTGCCATGCAGGAGCTGTGGATGTGGAGGGCTGGAGCTTTCCTAGAACGTGCTGAGAATGGCACGCCGTGTTTTGGGGTTTTTTTGAGGAAATACTGTAATCCTACAAAGCTAATTTTGGTGCGGTAGTTGCCCTGTGGGGAGTCCAGGCTGGGTGTAAAGATGTGGCACTTGGGGACAGGGTTTAGTGGCAGATTTGGCAGTGCTGGGTGATGGGTTGGGCTCGATCTTAGAGGGCTTTTCCAGCCTGAACTCTGGTTGTGTGCAGCCTGGGGTGGTTTGGAGAGGAGGCTCCTGCTGTCCCTGCCCGGGTGGGTGTTTGCTGGTTGGAGGGAGAGCTCACAGCCCTGCTGTCTTTAACCAAACTGCTTTCTGCTTATCCCACCTGGCTGCTTTCACAGCTTTAGGGGGCTGATTGGGATGGGTTTGGTGGCCCTGTCTCTGTGAATGAGGTCATTAGAGGGGACCAGCACAGAGCTGAGCCCACAGGACCTGCAGAGCATCCCCTGCTGTGGGAGTGGGTGCTCTGGTGAGGCTCAGCTGATGCCTCAGCCAGGATGGGACTCAGAGTCAGCCTTTATATTTGATGTGTTTGGTGTTCTTTTGGTAATTTGGCTTCTTCCCAGGGTGGTTAAAGGCACCTTCTGCTGCCCTGAGGTGATGGGGAGGAAGGGGCTGAGCCCAACCACAGAGGGGACAAACCCCCCTGGGATGCCCCAGCCCTGCTGTGGCTCTGGGGGAGCAGTCCAGTGTCTCTGGACCAAATTTCAGAGGAATTGTGTAGGAATCCGTCTCTGTCACCCAGCTGTGATGTGCCCAGACACGGGGTAGGGATGCGTGAGGCCGAGGAACTTCAGAGGCTGTTTTTGATGATAAATGCACATTTTGCCTGGCTGGCTGGACTGGCTAACCAGCTGTCTGCCTCACTAGAGAGCTCATTTTGTTATTAATCAGGTGAAATGCCAGGGGACAAGACACTTGTGCTAGACTTGAAACACCCAGTAATTCTCTGTCATCCACCTTTCCTGCTGAATTAAGTGAGGTGTGCAGGTGTGCAATGAGAAACAGATTTTTGCCCGAGGTGAGCAGCGTTTCAAAGGCCAGAGGTGAAATCACATCTCTGCAGAGAAACACTTTTAAGATCCAGGCACTTGTGTGTTATTTTTTTAAAAATCCTTTTCAGTGCTGATTTGTTTTTCCTTGCAGCTGTTGGAGGTGTGCTGCGAGGTGAGGCAGGGAGGCTGCAGGGACTGGTGTCCCTGTCCTCCTAAAATCTCCCCAGCCTCATAAAACTTCCCTGTGCTTGTGCAGCAGAGAGGCCAGACTGCAGCAGCAGTTTAATACATGATGCTTAATTAAATAAATGAGGCAAATCACCCCGTTAGGTTGCAGTCTGAAGTTTACTTTATTTTCATGTTCAGTTCCAGAGACCCCAAATCTGCTGTTTGGTGGTGCCTGGGAGGATGGGATGACCCAAAGAACTTCCAGAGTGGCCAACAAAATAAACAGGAAAAACAATCTTGAGTCCCAGCTCTCTTCTGAGAGTCGCTGGATGCGAGGCCAGTTTTTGATGGAGTAAAACTTCATTTCTGGTCCGTGCTTCTCTTTGTTTCTGGAGAGCTGGGAAGCGGCATGAGGGTGATTGCCCTCGGTGCTTATTGATCATTATGTCTGTGGCTGTGATTGGATTTCTGGGGGTGTCATTCAGGGTGATTTTCCAGCCAGCTGGAAGAGCGTGATGCAAAGGACATTTGGAATTTGCAGGTGGGAGCAGAGGTGGGAGCCCTCTGCTTTGCATTCCCTGCCCCAGAGCCACCCCCAGAACCCCACTCCTCTCCCCATTCCCCCTCCTAATTCCAGTCCTCTGTCACTGTGTGTTCTTGGGAGTGAGACAGAGATCTTTAAGCTTTACATTTCCATCAATAATTAGGTTTGAATCTTAATTTTGTTAAATCTCTGGTCAGATACAAATTAAATGACTCTCCACTCCTGTTTCAGCACAAAAAATATGTGCAATAAAACACCTGCATGTTTGGGTGAGGTTGATATTTGGTGCTATGAATTTTGTGAGGTTTTCCTTTTTTCTTTTCTTTTTTTGGCATTTGTCTTAGATAAAATTAATCCTTCCTGGCAGGGCCTTGGATGTGTTTGGAGGTGGGCAGGGAATCCTGCTGCCTCCCAGGAGCAGAGAGCTCGTGGGGGCTGCATCAGCTGTGCCAGACACCTTTGCAAGTGGGGGATTGGATCAGGAATTATCCAGGAAAACTTGGGGATCTGGGAGTTTCCTGCAGGGTTCCAGATCTCTGTCCCTCCTCTGCTTCAGTCTCATCCCTCGTGGGGATGCTGTGAAAGGCATTTCTGCTCCCAGTCTCTGCAGCTGAAGGGGAATGGGTTAATTCAAGGGAGAACACCTGGGAAAGAAGCAATAACCCCCCAAATCCTGCCCCACTGCCCTGCCCTGGCTGTCTGAGCAGCTGCTGAAATCTCTGTGGCTTAAGAGAGGTGGAAATTGGTGCCTGCACAAAGCTCTGGTGGTGTGATTTAACATCAAGCCTCCCACAGATATCACACTGCACTCACTCCCCATCAAAGGCTGGTCTGGCACTGCTCAATATCTTCATTTTCCTGCTCCAGAACCTCCTGGATTCTGGCAGGGAAGCAGCCACGGGTTGAATGTGCTGGTGGGTGCGCAGAGTTGAAGTCAGCAGTAATGGCCAGCTCATTAAGGATTCCTGTTTGGAAGCACATTGACATCTCTCCAGAGGGAATCCAGCCCTCCCTGCAGCACCTGGAGGTTTGATTGGGGCCCTGGAGGCTGATGAGAGGCAGCAAACCTAATTGGAGTGGTGGCTGGGCTGCCCACTGCTCTGCTGCCAGCCCCACACCTGCCTGAGCTGTCACTTTTACCTGCTGTTTTTTCTCCATTTCCACCAAAATCCTGTTTATTGGTGATGGAGGTGCTGTGACAACTTGGGAGCAGGTGGCTCGGAGCCTCCCCCAGGTACAGGGGAGGTGGAGGATTTGGGGCAGGTGATTTTTCACAAGGATTTGGGGTTTTTAACGTGCCACTTGAAGGCTTTATAGCTGCAGTGCTTGTAATTGCTTCCATATGTCGTGACAGTAGTTAAATATAATTCAGTGTTATCAGAGCTGGGTGGGTTCTTTGAGCAAGGTTTGTGTAGCCACTCTTGATTTACCCTGCTCAGCTCCGCTGGCTTTTTTATTTACTCTCTGCTTCTTTGAAACTGAGTTCTGTTCCAGAAAAAAAAAAAAAAAAGGCTGTGAAAAATGGCCTGGTTGCATATCCCTGTTTACTGTGTCTCACTGACTTCCCGTTGGGATGTGCTGAGCCTCACAAAGGGAAGAGAGGGAAGAAAGGTGCTCTGTGTGTCCAGCCAGCCT